CACTGGCTCTGCAGCGCATTGCCGAATGTTCTGGCTGTCTCTGCCTACCGCGCAACATATGCTGTGTAGATAATAGAGCACGCATGAAATACTATTCAGTAGCAAAAGGATGGACCTTCCATTTTTTTAAAGGGTGTCCAATGAAACAAGCTAGACCCTGGGGAGTGACACCCTCAACTGTATGGTACTGACACAGAAACTTTTTAACATTTTTTTAATATTGGTGGTTTTAAATATGACAACTAGGGATGCACCGGCATTTCAGTATCGGGTATGAGTACCCATATTTTTTTCCCGGTACTCGCCGATACGAATACCAATAGCGGAAGTCCCATTAAGGAAGTCAGGCGGTGTGTAAAGACACGACACCTGGCTTCACGATTAGCAGGGAAGCTGTCCCCATGCTTCTCGTCACTATGTGAGGAGAAAGCATGGAGCCGACTTTCTTGCCAATCGGGAAGCCGTGCAATGACGCGACGCCTGGCTTCATGCTCTTGCGTTATGAGGTGATGGAGCATGAAGCCAGCTTCCCGGCCAACCAGGAAGACGGGCGCTGCGTTATTGCACTGTCTCTAAATGAAACCTTGGATGTCCCCCATACAGACACAAGGGAGGCGGGGAGGAGACACTTCTGAGCTTTCAAAAGATTTACAAATTGCTTCTGAAATGACAATAAAGGAGATGTAAAGTCCCAGCATATCCTACCGGATTCTAACATCAGCATTGTAAATGGAATACATACTGGAGTTGTTTCTGATAATACAATCAAAGCTTACTGGGAAAAATCCCTTTTATGTAGTGAGTGTTGCCTTCCGTCTGCCCATCACTTCCAAAAACTTCCTGGATTCCCAGTGTGCTTTGCGTCTCTTTCCCTGCTGCTTAATGTGATGTAATCTCCATTTTTCAAGACCACATATCCCAGAATGCATTGCTTCCAGCAACCAATGATAATGTTACAGTGTTCAGAGGTTAAGTTGTAGTTCGGAAGGCAGGCTCTGTGAGAGTGGTGACACAAGGGCTGAGTGAAATGGTGTCAGTGCATTGAGGAAGTACATCCTATGGCCATCTTCAATAAGTTTACAAACTTCTAGATAGATATGTAGTAGTATACGAACAGACCGCACTATCCAGAGAATTCCAATACTTCAGACTTTATTGAAATTCACAGCAAATCCAGAAGAACAGTGAATAAAGCAACTGTGCAGTGCTGGTATTTGTTGCTTTATTCACTGTTATACTGGATTTGCTTTCTCTGGATAGTGCGGTCTGTTCGTATACTACTACATTCCAAGGTGGAGACGCACCTATTAGACCAGCACCTGGGGAGTCCTGATGGCGGCTAAGGAATTGGAGAGGTGAGATTTCTTTTGGTTCTAGATAGATATGGTTATTAGGAGTGGGAGAGAACTTAGGCTGGGTTCACACCTAGGCGTATCGAATTTGCGCGATTCGCTGTAAAAACGTGTGACAAACGCACGTTTCTGAGGGCTACCTGGCTGTATCCCAATGGATACGCACGACAAAAACGCCCCAAAGAAGCTCCTGTACTTCTTTGGGCTTAAGGCCTTTTGTAGCGCGTTCATACGGCCTTTAATACGCCCAGGTGTACACCATACCCATAGGAAATAATGGGATTTCGCTGTTTAAACGTTTTGCAGAGCGTAGGAACGCACTACAAAACGCCCAGGTGTGAACCAGGCCTTTGGACTCACCCTGCACTACACCGCACGACACCCGGGACGCGTGTCCTGCACAGCGCAGGCAGCGATTCCCGTGTGGCCCCATTGATTTCAATGGGGTGACATCCGCGCGCCAAACGCAGAAAAAAAAAGGTACATGTACTTTGTGATACACAACTTGCGGCTGGTTGAAAGCACGGGCGGGAAACCACGCGATGCACCCCGCGCGACTGGGGTGCCATTCGAAAATAATGGCACCCACTGTGCAATCGGTTCACACCTTGGAGACTCTTGACAGCGCAGAATCGTGCCCGATTGCCGCATTGTGAGGTGTCGCCTGGGTGTGGACCTAGCCTTGATACAGAAATACAAATTCATTATTAGTTTTTGACCACAGATACACTTTAACATGTTTAGGTGAACATGAGATTTTCATGATTGGGTTTACATTTACTTACAACTGTTGACTGAAAATCCAGCAGCGATTTCCACTGCAATTCCTGGAACAGTTAAAATCTGGAGCCATGACATTATTATACAATTATTACTCAATTAGCATTTCTACCTACTCAGCCTCCTTTGATGTCACAACGCACTGAACAACGCTTACCTCCCATCCTTCCATCTCCAGTCCTTTCTTTCCATAGACGTCATAGATGGCTCTTGACTGTGGATCGCTAAGCACTGCAAGTTAAAAAAAAAATACAAAGGTGAATACAACACAAAATCCGATGAATTCTGGGTCAGCAGAAACTCGGAAGCACTGGGGACAGGGGTGAAGAAGGGCAAAGACAGCCAAGTACATGTGAATATTTGCAAAACAAAAGCCATTGTGTCAGGCATCACTTGTGATAATGGAACAATATTTTTTGTGCACATTAGGCCTTGTATGCCAAGGCTTCAACTTCCATAAAAGCAGTGTGTGCCGCAAGCCAAGTATTTGTAAAGCTTTTAGCAAGTTTCAAGCAGCTTTGCTGCAAGAGGACGCTAAGGCACATATAGGAACTACACTACATGTGTCGTCATATTTGTCTGGCGAATGGACATCTCTTTGGTGAAGGAGTGGAATATTTGGTGTGGAGTGGCACAACTTACACGTGTGAACACAAAAGGAAAAAACATTTTACTTTTGAGGGCTTTTTTTTTTTAATATTGGTTTTACTTCCCCCATAAAGAAGAGATCCACCCTTTTAACAAGTATATAGCAGAATGCAAATCTCAACGGTGGTAAAACATTTGCACTGGGTTTAACAAATTGGACCAGCTCAAACAAGACACCCATACAAAACAAAATGTACTGCAAACACTTCGAGGTGTCTGCACATCCTTTACTGTAGATTGTTACCAGAGCACCAGAATCTGGCCGCACTGTCATGCACACAACATTCAGCTCTGATCATCATTGGCTCTGTCTGTCCTCTCTCTCTTGCCGCGCAGTTGACCCACCATTATGATGGACAGCCTCACTGGCCAATAGTGAGAAGCTGGGAGACTAAAGAAGCAAGCTACATCTCACAACCACAGAGTTTGTCACTATTTCTCATATTATGGGGCACTGGGTGCTACAAAGAAAAGGTGTGTGGTGGTATCTGGCGTCGTCCTGCCCTGCTCGAGTGAGGCACTGGCCATGTAGCTCTGCACAGGCTGAGTGACGCACTGGCGATGTAGCCATGGCCTGCTCGAGTGAGGCACTGGCGATGTAGCCATGGCCTGCTAGAGTGAGGCACTGGCGATGTAGCCCTGCACAGGCTGAGTGAGGCACTGGCGATGTAGCCATGGCATGCTCGAGTGAGGCACTGGCGATGTAGCCATGGCCTGCTCGAGTGAGGCACTGGCGATGTAGCCCTGCACAGGCTGAGTGAGACACTGGTGATGTGGCCCTGGCCTGGCTGAGTGAGATACTGGTGATGTGGCCCTGGTCTGGTTGAGTGAGGCACTGGTGATTGGCCCTGGTTGAGTGAGGCGCTGTTGATGTAGCCCTGGCCTCACAGATGCATCGTGGGAAGGCAACATCACCAGTGCCTTCCTGGGAAATCTCATCTGTAAACTGCAAAATCTTGCAAGATCTCGGGGAAAAGACATTCACCACCCCTTAATTCATGTGCACCGTCACATATTTAGTCAGACCCACATTTTAGGAAGTAAAGGGAGATGGATTAATCTGCCCTTAGCAGAAATGGCCACTGTGAGAAAAAAAGGGAAGGGAATATAAATAAGGTATGCAAAGAATAAAAAGCCAGCAACGATGTAGAAGTATCTGTTAGTGGACTGTCATTACTAAACATTTCCCAAGGTGCCTTTGTCATTTTTAAGATAGGGTCTGCACACCAGCTGTGTCCACTATGAGGGGCTCCCACTCTCACTGATGGATTTTGTATTTATTCCATAAAATGGAGAAGGTACCAGATATGTCTGGAACAGTTGGGCAGGATCACCCAAAACTTGGGCAGAATCAGGAATTACAGCAAAGAGATCTCACTGTTGGGCCTATCCAAGACATACATGAAGCCAGGGGCCGACTTAGTCCACCAGGGTCCATCTAGAACAGGGGTTGCCAAACTCTGGCCCTCCAGCTGTGCTGGAACTACAAATCCGTTGAGGCATTGCAAGATTTTCACAGCCACAGACATGACTCCCGGAGAGAGATGCATCATGGGATATGTAGTTGCACCACAGCTGGAGGGCCGGAGTTTGTCTACCCCTGATCTAGAACAAAAATGTCCCTTTTTGATGGAAAGATCCTTTCTCCTTCCTCTTTTAATACGCTTCAAAAACATGAGAACTGAAAAAGTCAACGTTGCTGTCCACCACCAATTAGATCAGCTAACAATTTCTAACCCACATTTGAAAACTAAATGCATCTGTTTCCTATGGGAAACAAAGACACTTTTCCTTCACTTAAGGTTTTATATTCAAAGCACATTGCTTCTCCGAGACGCCTCCATCGTGAGCACATTTTTCTAACGCAGCAAAAACAAACAAAAAAATATATGGCGGAAACAGGCCGACAATCAAAGATAGCAGCAGTGTAATCAGAGAGCCCGTTAAGATCAAAAACGCTCTGCAAATTGATTTCTGTATATCTGTCGTGGATGGGTACATCACGTCCGATAAGCACGTATTGTCTTTACATTAATTTATCATCCGCCGCGTTCGAAGCTGCTGCGCCAGCCATTAAAAACACATTTCGAGGCAAGCTGGTAAGTGGCGCTTCTGATACACTTCTCAACGCTCGGAACTTCAACTGTGCAAGAGCTTCGCTGATTCCTCTTGAGCTAATTACAAGAATACAGACTCGAGGGTTTCCACAACAGGCCAGCTACTGCTTACTGCTTGTCAGTTGTTGAGTTGGAAAGAAAAAAAAATATCCCAGGATTCCCTCGAGACTACGGATTGTAGATTCACAAAAGCTGAAAGGCTGCAGCGGGTCTAATCATTGTGTTAACTATTGTTTCTCACTTTGATGGAGAGGCCAAACAGAAACATGTTTTTTTGGGTGGATGAGTAGTGCGTTGGTGTAAGATGGTCAGTGTAGCCATTCAGGGCAAAATGACAAGTCTATTGAAAGCACACCCAGGCCCACTTCTAATCCTCCATTATGATTTCCCTGATGCCCCATCCGTGCCCCAGGTATAAGGAGCATGTGACCTCTTCTAAGGATGCAGGAAAGCTGCTTGAAATTTAGAAATGCTTGCTGCAAATACCGCTCTTTAAAGTTGTGTTGACAGTCCAAAGCCAGCGTGACGTAGGCGTCAGAGACTTATCACTTTCCCCATTCTGGTATTCTTTATAGCCAGGGCCGGCCTTAGGGGTGTGCGAGCTGTTCGGCCGCACAGGCGTCCTGGGGGTGGCTTCTCTCCCCCTCACCACTGGCCATCCGATATGACAGCGCTCCCTCGT